ACATTAATATTAACTGGTAGTGATTGACCAAAAAAAGTAAATTCAACAACCAGTCTTTCTACATGACAGTACTTTCATCACTCAAAACAAACCATGACAAATGACTTATCTCTAAATATTCATGAAATGAGTATTGATGTACCTCTCCTTCGGTTGTATGGAATTTATGACTATTTATATTTGGAAGTTTAATTGCAAATTGGTCAATAATTGCCAATTTTGTTCCTGCTTGCAAGTCTGCCTTTAATGATGCTGCTGCCTCTCTCATCTTTCTCTGTGGTTTTCCTCCATTTGGACCAACAACAACCTACAGAATGGATGTATTTAAGATTACACAGAATTTAAGATACATATATTGTACTCTTAAGTGTGACATGCATGAAGGAAATGGCATTTCACACTCTATAGGTAGTTAGGAGCAGAGTAAACAGCCAAGCCTCTCAGATATCATTGACTAAATTGTACCTGCCTAGCTAAACAAAATATCAACTTAGAAGTTAAATAATCTAACTACAGTACAACCATGAATAATGTGCACCATCAGCAACCTATAAACATACATACCTTATAATCTGGAAACTTTAGGACTCGAGACATTATAATTTGGCTGGGACACTGACCCAGCTTTTTGGATGGTTGATAATGCTTTCTTCTTTTCCTGAATGTATGGTCATGGTTCTGCAAAATCATTGGATGGTGTGAATAGAAATATATATTTATGGGATGGTTCTACTCCTTAAAAGTTAACATCACCACAAACTGCATGGCATTAAAGGTTGATATTAATAGTTCAATATTAATTTGTTTATTAACCAATTAATGTGCAAGACTCTGCTTGTACTCTTGTATTCGAAATAATATAGCTTGTCATTTAAATGCATTCAACATAATACCGTATAGCTTCTGCCATTTTTACCTCATTTTTATCCCGGTCTTCCTGTCTCTTCATTTTTGTTTTCAGATCTATATCGTCACCCTGATGACATTGGTAGTTCACTGTACCAACACATAGAAATGGCACACCATCAAATGGAAATGATATCCCTTCAGAACTTGTCAGTCTCCATTGAACTCTCTTTCCAATTTTTTGTGATGCCATAATTTCCTCAGCAGTCTTGCCTTAATTTTTTTGGATTTAAAATTATAACATTTATTATCATGTCATGTTATACACTTATACATGTATGTATATACATACATTACATTCACAAAATATGTGATGCTGTTTTTGCCAATTTGTTACCCCTCCCTACCATGTGACAGCTAGCAGTACACCCCATCATAAAATATGCGACTCTGAGCCAACCCCCCCCCCCATTCTCCCCAATAAAATTACTCACAAAACACAAATTTAATTTGCAACAACAGATTCAAAACGTTATCTATAAATCAACACTATTTCAATGCCTTATTAAACCTCGGCCTAAACAGTTTCCCACTGGTTTGTTGAATAACAATATATTTTGATAGAAAACATTGATTTGGCATCTAAGGGACACATATTTGCAAGCACTGTCTTGTTTTGTTAAACACCCTTATACGCATCTCTGTCACATGATACTGTTTGTGATACCCCTTCGCCCTCTTGTGACACTATGTGACTCCTGATCAAACACCCCCTACCCCCACAAGCATCACATATTTTGTGAATTGCCCTTTAATGATATCACACCAAGAGGAATAAACTGATATATCTCAATCAAAAATTAAGAAATATGGTTAACTTTGCTTGTATGTGGAAGAGTCAATAATTCTGTAACACACTGTCACACTTGGTCTACCCACCTCACCGCCTGTTGTATAATAAAATCGCTATGTATAAAATGTATTCAACATTTGATATGTGCCAATGTGTATATATATATATGTGAGTAGATCCAGCTTGCATGCTCGACCAAGGAATACATTTTTGTGTTGACCGTTCATGCGTTTTAAATATGTATATTTATCGGAATATATTAAACCTGCAATCGTCTATGTGTACTTATTAAAATATCGTGATTATAAATATAAATATTCATATCATATGTAAATAAGAACCTACCAAAAAGAGCGTTCGATTTTACACATCTCCATCCGCTTAGCGTTTCTCTCTTGTACTCCTCAAGTCGCTGAAGCATTTCTTTTTGTGTGGCATAAACGACAACTTGGCCACCTTCGTCGTCCACTGGCTCTACAGAAGCCATTTTGCTTTCCTTCGCGCCAATTTTCCAATTTTTGCGCGCTATTTATTATGAAATTAATTTAGAGCACCCGCTGACCATTATATACAGCGGTCGCAGTTATGTGCGTATCTTGTCTATGATCTAGTGCCGACCTTAGTTGCCAAAATGGCGGCGAGACGAATACAATAGGTTGCCATCGCGATGCTCGCGATATATGACGAATTTTGACGAATTTGACACTTACTGGCAAAATGGCGGCTATAAAAAAATCTCGGACATAATTTTCGCAGAGTGACACATCTTTATAGTATCTAATCTTTGGCACTACACTGATGAGGCCCAAAAGGCCGAAACGGTACCGTCTGTAGTTATATATATATATATATATATATATATATATATATATATATATATATATATATATATATATATATATATATATATATATATATATATATTTATATGGTATATATATATGGTATATATATATGGTATATATATATTAATATATAGGCGAATGTCAATAAGTATATTGAGTGTCGAATCATAAGAATAGAGTGCTCGATACAAAAGTAGAGCAAATAAAAGACAAGCTTGAGTTACTTCGTTTAAAACATTTATTCACAACAAATTTGTTTCGTATGGCAAGCTAGGCTTGCCACACTCATCAGGTGAATGGTGATATCGCGTATTTACATGATGTTATAACCTATAGGTAACTTGAGTTGTTATATACAAATGTTTGACGTCATTAGGAAAGCGTAACAGCGGGCCCATTTAAAGTGAGATACTACAACCATACAAGCTCGTTCAGGAACCCGGATCATAAACATTCAACTGAACTGAGTAAATATATTTGGCAGTTGAAACAGTCCAACATAGAATACTTTATTCGTTGGAAAATTTTAAAGAAATGTAAGGCCTACTCAAACAAAACAAAACGTTGTAAATTATGCCTGCACGAAAAGTTCGTTATAATTTACTATCCCGAACTAAGCTCATTGAACTCAAGAAACGAACTAATATCGGCATGTAGGCACAGGAAAAAATTCCTGCTCTGTAGCCAGTAGTCAGATTACAAACATATATTTACGCTTTCCTAATGACGTCAAACATTTGTATATATCAGCTCAAGTTACCTATAGGTTATAACATCATGTAAATACGCGATATCACCATTCACCTGATGAGTGTGGCAAGCCTAGCTTGCCATACGAAACAAATTTGTTGTGAATAAATGTTTTAAACGAAGTAACTCAAGCTTGTCTTTTATATATATATATATATATATACTATATATATATATATATATATATATATATATATATATATATATATATATATATATATATATATATATATATATATTTATATCTTAAAATTAATTATTGCTACTCAAGTTTCACGCCTTATTCAAGACGATCTTCAGGCAATTAATTCAGTTAGTGTTTGATTCGTCAATATCAACGGTCGCTCGCTGACGCGGAGGTTTGTCTATCGTCACCGGTTTGAATTTGCACGCGCTAAATTTTTCCTTGTGACAGCACTTTGCATAAAACTCTGATCGCGTGTTCAGTGAATTGTTTCCTTTCGCTTTCAGGATACATAATTTCTCTTCCAAGCAGAGGCCACATCGCTTTCCACCAGGCGTGTACGCAGCAGCTCGTTTCAAGATGGACTACTTGATGCTGTAATTTCTTC